TCTGATATCCACAATACCATATTTTGATTTTATTTAAAAAAAAAAAAAAATGTTGTCCTGATTTCCTACCTAAGTTAATTCTGGAAAACATGGGTGTTGGCTAAATTTTTATTCTTTTACTCTGAGTGATCTAGTCTTGGTATTTCTGAACATATAATAGTAGGACCTGGAACTATGCATCATGCAGATGATTACTATGTAATCTTCACCCCTGGGTTCTGCCAGTTGACTATATTCCTAACGTCATATACTGCTGTGCCCTGTTGCAGGAAAAGCTGCATGTGTGTCAGATATGTAGTGGATTTATGAATGGAATAAATCTTCATTAGGAATGAAGATAAGGCTGGCATAGTGAGAACAATTCAGATAAAAAACAGTTTGGGGAAAGGTTTTATAATTTCAAACTGAAAACTGATGTTTAAACATTATGTGGATCTGTTTGATTTTAAGTGTTTGGATAGAATTTCTACTCTGCAGATATTAAGATGTTAAATTGGTTGTAAGTCATCATGATGGAGAATGCTACTATGCTTCTGGACAGGGAGATTTGGCTTCTTGGGCTACTAATTGCCTATTTGTTGCTTTAGGGACAGTGCCTAGCCACTGCTTAATTAAAGTGCTTGAACTGAAGTGGATCTGAGCCACATGCTCAGCCTGCTGAATTGCTTCCATTGCTGGCCATGTTGCTGCACTGTTAAGGGAGGCAGAATTTGAAGCTGTACTCTTTAACTCGTGCTGCTTTGCCTTAGCGGGTATGGAAATGATCACCCCATAAGCAAGTTTACCACTTCCTTTTCCTCTTTTCCAATGTAGCAAGAAAGAGACAAATTTATCCCTTTCTCACTTTTCTGAAGATAAAGCAGTGTTAGTATCTGTACTGTACCTGGGGCAAACATGTCAGGATAGTATCTTGCGTGAGGGGATAGGGAAGAGGGGACACAGGGTAAAGAGGGCACTGTTAAAAGGAAGATTGGTCTGGAAAAAAGTGGCAGCGGCAACGCAAGCAATAATTTGCTTTAAGGATAGGCAGTATATCTGTGTTTCTTTTAGTTGTCTGTCTTGCTTAATTATATTAGTCTTTAGAAGAAACTCTATTATAACTTCCTGATTTGAAAGTGTGCATATGTATCTGTGAGAGAGAGAGAGAGATCTTATCCCTTTTCCAAACAAGGATGAAAATTTGAAAGCCTGAGTATCAGTCATAGAAATACATGTGGTATCTATTCAACTGTGATAAAACTTTAAAAAAAAATGATCAAGTAAATTTTTAAGTAACAGTCCCAATGTTAGATATTCATTTATTACATTTCTCTTTTTAGGTTATTGCACCTAAGCATGAACATTGAAGACAAACTGGGAGGATTATTTCTTAAATGTGGTGGCATAGACCAAATGCAGTCATCCAGGGCTATGGTAGGGATGGGTGCAGTATCTGACCAGTCTGCAGTGTCTGGGGAACGGCAAGAGACAGTGCTTCAAGATCGGACTATAGCACACCAAGAAATTCTTGCAACAGATGAAGTGTTACAAGAAAGTGAACTTCGACAGCAGGAGATGATTTCACATGATGAACTTATGGTCCATGAAGAGACGGTTAAAAATGATGACGAGATGGAGGCCCAAGACAGACTTCCTCAAGGGCTGCAGTATGCAGTGAATGTTCCTGTAAGCATTTTCACAAAGTATTGCAGACATGGTTTGGAAACGAGGTTTGGCAGTATTGTTAGGAATACATTCATGACTTTTTTATTATCAAAAATATTTATAAGTACATCCTGTTTATAAAAATGTCATTAGCTTCTGGCTGGGTCAAATGCATCTCACTGTGCAGAGTGCAAAAGACCCTGGACACCCCTTAAACGAGCGTAATGAGCTTAAGTGTAGTTTAAAAGGAATGTTACAAGTTTTTGTTCAGCATTTGCATAGAAGTAAGTTTCTCTCATAGTTGCCAGTTATATAGGTATCTTCTGTTCATATTCAGTTATGTGCATTGATCATTTAACACTACATTCTTTTTAAATAATTAGGTTTAAAAGGCAAATTTAATCCAGAAGAACTAACATTACTGAAAAGATCTGCATATTGGTCACTACTTGAATTTTCTTTTTGTTGGCATTACTCTATGAAACATTTCTGTATGTGTTCTAAAAAAATCCCTTATGTGCATTAAGCATCGGACTGCCACTAGTGGCATCCAGACAGTAAGTCAAACAAACATGACACTTTTTGTAGACACCCATAAATATGTCTTCCTTCATATTTAATAGAAGGTGTGCATAGTCTGCCACACAGAGAATGCAAAATGGCTTTCATTAGACAACATGCATCTCTGTAATTCAATGAAATATTATTGTTAACTTGTAGTTCGGGCATTTGTAGAAGTGCCAGCGATTTTACGAAGTAGAACCATTCAGAATCATGAAGAATAACATTTAAGTGTAATTTTGTTAAAATAGTGTGCATGAGAAGTTTTCCCTTTAACTGTAAATCATAAGCATTTGTTCAAAAATTTAGAGAACATCAGAGAAACATAAAGCACATCTTTTGTAAAGATAACATTACTTCAAGAAGTATAACTTGGAAAATGCTCGTTAAACCTATTCTTGTTTTTAAAGAATCCTGTAGCTTAGGTGTGTGTTAAATCTTGACATTAATATAACAAGCAAAAGTAATACAGGTATGAAGAAATGGAAGACTTTTTCTGTACCAATGGAAATGCTTTTGATCTACACTATTTGACACAGAAACACTGCCAGTCAGAAAGGAGAGATTATATTTTGGGGGATGAATGATGAGGTACAAGAAGATGCAGTTTCTACTGAAATTAATTATACCCTATCTTCAGTTAATATTTCTATTACTCCTTTAATTTAAATATCTAAAAGTATGGAACCATGACACAATTCGTTCAGGATAAAAAAAAATAAAGTCCTAGTGGGCTTGTCATCTAAAAACAAACAAACAAAAATCTCTTCTATAGTGAGAACCTTATCTGAAACTGACACTTGATATCTTAACAGATCAGTGTAAAGCAAGAAATTACCTTTACTGATGCATCTGAACAACAGAAGCGAGACAAAAAACAAATAAGAGAGCCAGTAGATTTGCAGAAAAAGAAGAAAAGAAAACAGCGTTCACCAGCAAAAGTAAGACAGTGATTTGGTGAAACCAAGATTAAAAAGAACCTGGAGTTTTGCTATGATTTTATGAGTGATTTCATTAGAATTTGGAGTGGTTATGTTAGAAGTTGTTTGTTTGCTCAGTAAAGATGTAGCTCTGCAGCCTGTCAGAGTCCAAAACAAAACCCGAGAGAAGGCATTCACAATGTGCTTCTTTGAACTTCTTTTAGCAACATCAACCTTTTGACGTATTTTAACATCTGTCTCTCCAGGCAGTTCCCTTCCAAATACTTTTTTTTAAATTATGAGTCAGTAGTTTTGTAGACAACTTATAAATCATTACACTGCATTCATCTAAATATAGTCCTGCTTTTTCCTATGACCCTGAGAACTTTTGTGTCTGCATTGGGAACAATTTAAAAACAAATACAGAACAATATTTTGGAAAATCTAGAAAGATGATTTGAAGTTGAAAATGATCAGCTGGTAGGAAGCACTCCTAAAATCAGAATCGACTTAAAGTTCTCATGAGAACTTTTGACAAATTGTTTTCTAGATCCATTCATGGACAAGGTTGTATCCCAAATTTTATCAGTTTGCTTAAAGACTTGGATTTATTTATAGTAAGAGTATGTTCTCAGAAAAAAACAAGATCAGTCCTCCAAATGAGGGCTACTATAGCAATATTCTGTCCAATTGTCTAAAGCCCCAACTCCTGACTTATTTTATTTTGGATTTAAATAAACATTTAAAACATACATAGAAAACTATAGTTAGGTAATAACACAGTCACACACAGAGGACCACACAACAGCTTAAAAATAATCATATTTTAGAAACAGTCAAGCCATAAGTAAATCAAGACAAAATCAACACCATAACTACCAAATCCCATAACCTCGTTTCAGTCTCCTAGGGTAATCTGTCCTCTAAATCTTCCCCAAAATCATGTAAATAGGTGATTTTTTGCAATGTGCCTGGAGGGTTGGTAGACTGACTGTTTTAGCTTTGGATTTGGGAACAAGTTTCTGAGTCCTAGGGTTCCTTATGGTAGCACCCCACTTTTTGATAAGGTTTTGAATGCCCATTGCAGACCACATCTGCAGGAACACTGTATAATGGAAGTGGTCAGTGTCCCTCTTCAGACATGTATACATGCATGCTTCCTTCCTCTCCTAGTTCAGTCCTCCTGCTTTGTTCTTTTGAAATAATGCAAGACTGAAAAATGATCAAGAAAATCCTTGAACAGGTTGCGTTTCAATTTTTTAACAGCATATAAGAATGAAGATGGCAGGAACAGCCAGAAGATTAGTATAGGTGTCCTCTTTTTGGTTACATCTGTGGTCCCAGAATACTGTGCTTGATTTGCTGCCCAACCAACAGCTGGGATAAGGGTGGAGATCATCTTATACAATGAATAGTTTCAATAGTATTTTTCTTTATTAGTTGTATGCTTGAAAAACTACAGGTTTTATTTGTTTTTCCTCTATTATTTTTGGTCAGTCTATTAGCAAAACAGCATTGGCAAAAGAGTTTTTCTTCATTTAAGGAGAGCTACAATGGATCAGTGTTGTAAATTTAAAAGGTCCCAGGAAACATACGAAGGATTGTAAAATTGTACACCCACTTTCAGCCTAATTATTTTAACATTTTAATAATAATAAAGTGCATATTATAAAATTTCATTATTTTAAAATATAATTTTATGTTTGCCAGTGTCCCTTAATGAAGCAATGTGTTGTTACAGAACAGAATTTTATGAGCCTCAGTTTTTGTTACTTCACGGTTGTATAAGACCCTTGCGACTTACATAAAAAATAACTGCTCTGGCAACAAAACGTTTTAAGTGGAAAGTTAAATTTGGCAGGGAGAACTAAGCTGCATACTAAGTAGGGTAGGGTTGTATAGGATGAGGAAAGTAGAAGGGGCCAAGGTGACACTTATTCAGAAAATGTTTTCATGATCACTTTTGTTTTCCAGAATACTGGAAACAATTGTGAAGTGAATGCACACTACGGTGCACTAGGACATTGTATCAAAGGGCTAGAGAACCAGGCTAATGGAATATACTGGAAAATAACAAAACATTCATAAGTCACTTCTGTCCTGACACATTTAACTGGACAGAGAAGATATTTATTAGTTCAATCTTATTTTTAGCTTTGATGTGCACTATCAAAGAATTTACATGGTTATCATGGATAAACTTTTATTTATCTTGACAAACACATTTATTTGCTTTCCACCAAGTTTATACAACATTTTGCTTATCCTGCAAAGTATGATTTTTTTGTGGTTCCATTTCCAGGGATGGTTTGGTACTTTACTTTCTTGTCAGATGGAGAAAGTAAAGACTGACATTTAAAGTGACTCAGCATCGAATACAAAAGCTGTAAACTCGTTTTCCATCAATTTAATTTGTGTCTAGTAGGTGGAAATATGTCTTGACATGTCATGATATACAAGTTCAGAATATGCTGGTATTGAAAATGTAAAACCAAAATTCTGTCAATGTAAATTGAATGTTTCTACATGAAATCATTTGAATTTTCTTCATTACAAATTCATTTTGTGTTTTGTTTTGTAGTTGTTAAAACATCTTTAGAGGTTAGTGTGAGAACAAACTTTACTTTTTTCAAAATAGATCCTTACAATAAATGAGGATGGATCACTTGGTCTGAAAACCCCCAAATCTCATGTTTGTGAGCATTGCAATGCTGCCTTTAGAACCAACTACCATTTACAGAGACATGTCTTCATTCATACAGGTACTTCTTGACTTCAAATTGTTTCTTTTCTATTACCTAAAGATCTTTTTCATCACGTGAAAAATGTTTTCAGTTCTATGTGAATTTCATTTCGAAGAGTGTAGGTAACTTGGCATCTAAGCTTAGAGATTCCATGCACCAAAGTGTCAAAAGAATACCAGAAAAAAATCATTATATGCTGATTAAACCAAGGATGTTACTATTTACAAGGTTTCTTTTTTCTTTATCAGGAATTAATGGGTTGACATATAGCCTAAGTGCTGAGATTTACCCCTTTATAATTAATGTGCCATGGCTACTTATTTGCCAGATGAAGTATTTCTCTGGTTCAGAGAAGTGAAAAAGGTACTTGCCAGTATAAGTAGTTTGTCAGTACTATAAATACAGTTGTATGCCAGCATAATGATTTATCTTGTTCTTCAGGAAATTTGGCCATTCAGATCACCTTTCCATCTCAGTGTTAATGTGATTCATTTCATGAAGTCTGTTTAGTTAGAAAGGATCAAATTTTTTGGTATTTAAAATATTTTGGAATTTGCTCAGATGCCATTTTTTGTTATAGACAGCAGTTTTATTCCTCAGTAGTAGTTATCAGAAACAACAGTTTGTAGTTATTAACTTATGGATGTGGAATTATATTGTTCAAGGTGAAAAACCATTTCAGTGCAGTCAATGCGACATGCGTTTCATACAGAAGTACCTGCTACAGAGACATGAGAAGATTCATACTGGTGAGTATAGTGCCTTGAGTATCCTTACTGGCTTGTTTAAACGTTTTGTTTCTCAAATCTGGCCAGAGGTTCCAATAATGTTAAGCTGCACACTCATCCTGTTGCAGTTGTTTTGATTTAGCATATATGGTACAAAATACTTGGAATCAAGTACAGGTCTGTGATTTGGAATCACACTCTTTTCTTTGATTGGAAAGTGCGTGTAAACTGTAGAGAGCTAATGTGGGAATGAATTGTTCTTCTGGAAATTGCCCCACAGTAGCAAATACTAAAATTTGCACATTGACAAAAGTCACAGTTTGTTCAACAGTCTTGTCTTTTGTCACAGAAATCAATTTGCTATAGTAAAGTCTTCCAAATCATAGTTTTAAAGGTTTTATGGTTTCTTTTGAATTAATGGAAAACTGCCAGGACTATAATGGCCAAAATGCCTAACCCCCAAGGTCTTAGTATCAGCATTACTTTTCTCTCAACTTTAGTTAACAAACAAACAAAACCTATATCTATGATGGGTCAAATAAGGCTCAACGTTTAAAGCAAAAGAAAGTTTGTTACTCATATTTGCTTTTTGTCTTATTGCAATGTGCAAAACCATGTTCTTTAACAGGGTTGTTTTCATTGGGTTTTTGGCATTTTGGTGCATGGCCTTTGAATCCCTCTGTAAATATTTATTTTTTAATAAAGTCCTTTTGGACTGGATGCCAATTTTTCAGCCTCTTTTACATAAAAGCAAAGCTGGTAAATGCGCATAGCATTTCTTGGCTGTAGCATTTACATGGTATGAAAGCTGCTAATGTGTAACTGTGTGTGTGTGTGATAAAAAAGTTCAGAAAGGAAGAAAACCTCTGCAAAATGAATTTCCAAAGTAGTGTGTATGGCAGTGCTTCTCATTCTTAGACTTGGGGCACACTTTGAAAATGCCAGCTCTTAGCCCTTACTTATTTTTTGATGAAAGAAATGTAGAGTTCTTCTGTTGCAAAGAACTCAGAAAGACCCCAGTAGGTCAGAATGTTTTTGACACTGGCTTCATCTTTGAAATCTCTGAGTTTACCTTATGAATTGTGCAGGTGTTTGCACACCAAACAGTGCTACTATTGTGTGGCTTCCTATGGCACTGTTAAAAGGATCTCACAGCACCATGGTTATGAATTGGTGATATAGGGAGTTACACGCACAAATGTACTGCTGTTAATGAGATTTTTGCATGCTAAGTTGCCATGAATCCAGACTGTTTACGTAAGTAGTCAGTCATAGAAGAGACCTCTACTTTTCTCTTGCTCAATTCAGAGGAGTCTCTTAATTTAATTTCTGGCTGTGAATTGTTGAACCATGCTGTCTTCACACTGTGTAGACATTACTTTTGTCCAAAATGGCCTAAAGAAAAAAAAAAGCAGAAGGTTTAAATGTGCCCAATCTGTTTTGACATTTTGCAGAATCATTTTTTCCTGCAGGTTTTTTTTAATGCTTTGAAGGTTGAGCAATGTACCTTATTAACACTTGAGTGCACGCTTTGTATAAAAGCTTTTAATATTTTTTAAATGCCTTACTGTTTGGGTTTTTAATCTTTTTTTTTTGTTTTGTTTCCTTCCCACATCCCTCTATTTTTTGCATGTGTTTTAATCCTTTACATATAAGAAAGAAAATGCAGTTTAATAAATTAACCTTCTTATTAACTTTTTGGAAAATTTCCTTCCTTCCCTTTCCTTACCCTCCTATAGTTAGCATGTTGTGATAGTTATCTCTGGAAACTGGTGATGAAGATTTGGTTTTAAACTTATTAATAACTGGCATTACCTAGAGAATAGGTAAATGAATGCTTAGGATGAAGTATACAAAGTTTCTTTCTTATAGAATTGTTATTGAGTGTGTGATCAGTACATGTTGTCTTACTCAATAAGTCCCAGTTAGTTGTAATTATAATGTTTATATGGCTTTTTAGACAAGGTAAAAAACAAACAAACAATCCCCTCACCCCCTTTATTCATCTAACACCTTCTAATGCTCATTTAGGCTGCTTGCAGACATTAAAAAAGCCCCCCAAAACAGCCCTTTACTTTAAACTCAGTGCATTCCTACATGGAGCCCAGCACATTCCCAGAAGAGGCAGCCTGTTCGTTGGACCCAGCTCGCCCAACGTCTGTATAGATTGGGTGCTTTAGTGGTGCTTTTATCTAATAGCTGATTGACTCAGCTTTACATAAAAGCACCAAAAGGCCTGCTGAATCGCCCGATCTATACAGACGCTGCAAAGCTGGGTCAAAGTAACGTGCTGCTGCTTGTGGTAAAGCATAGGGGTTTTTTTTATGTTTGCAGGCAGCCTTGGTGAATAAAAAGCAGCTTTGATGTCCTGGTACTAATTCATTACAGCTAATTTCACTTTACATATTTAACATTTCTTATCTGCTTTCATTTGGCCATGGTATTCTTTGTTGCTGACCCTAATGGCTACTGGGTACAGACTTCAGAAAAGCCTGAGGAAGAATTGATCTAAATGATGTAGTTTTCTGTAAGCAGCATAGTTTAGATTGGTAGTGAACAGAATACACATTCACCCTTTGGTGGGAGGGGCCTGCAGGCCTATCTTAGACCAGGTTCTGCCACTTTCAAACCAGTCTGTGCACCGAACTTCTGTTCTGTTACAGGTTTAGATCAGTTTCCGATCACTTACACCAGTAAAAGTGTAATGTCTGTACCTGGCATGATTGTTATCTAGTCTTGCTAACTAGTGTTCAACAGTAGCATAGCAGGATTCTTCAGACAACTTGTATTTTAATATTGCCCTTTGTGGGCAGAAGATTAACGGTGACCCTTTGCTTTGCTTTTTTTTTTAAACTCTAAGAAATATTCTCCTTGGACTTCAGCTTTGTCATATCTCACATTTTGTCAGATATAATGTGCCCCAAAATATAATATGCATTTATTTTTTGTAAGGTGGAATAAAGAAAAAAAGATCTTTCTTTTCAGCGAGCAGGTAAATAACAGCAGCTGGGGGGCTGAGCCTGATCATTGTTCTGTTCCCTGTGGTTTTGGATTGCTGCAGATTTTAATTTTGGTTTCACCCAGAGCAGCAGAAACTGCTGTTAACATATTCCTCACAAATAAGGCACACTCCAATTACCAACAGTTGGTTTTTGGGAAAAAGATGCATTGTATATATGAGAAAATATAGTAGTCTCCATAGTTAGTAAGGGGTATGATTTGTTAGGGAGTATTTCTGTCTAGCTCTCATAGCTTTCTCTTTTTCTTGATGATTTTTTATTTTCTTCAGTCCCCAAAAGTATTTCTTAAAAATGAAAACAGGTCTGGCCTTTTATTTCTGTCTAAATTGTGGTTCCAACTTTGGTATAGTGTTTAAACAATTAAAGAGGTACAGGATGTTTCTTGTACCTTTTAAGATCTTGATCAGCTCTCTAAGTTACTGTATTAAGGCAGCTGACAACAGCAGTACAACACAGAAGCTCATTAAACCAGGAAACTTACAGGTGCTCCAGCTAGTTGTAGTAGGTAAGCTTTCTGTTCCTGGAACTATTGCTTCAAATAAAATCCTATTTCAAGGATATAGGAAGCTATCAATCAGCAGTCATATCCTATATGGGCAATTAATTAATGATTGCATCTGAAAGCAGACATTGCATTAATACAGAATTTTGTTACCAAGAAACTGCCACAGCTGGAAAGAGGATAACAGCCATAGAAACCTTTTGCTAATTGTCATTTTTTTTTATTGTGCTTGTTGCCAGTACCACTGTAATTGGCATTCAGTTTGTGGTGGGGAAGGGAAATTATCAGTAAATTATCATTTTGATGTTCAGAGTTTAGCGGGCTCCTGAAGCACAGCACCACTTGCTTGCTTCAACTTTCCCTGCTTGCTTTTCACTGATGAAGATTTTTCTACTCATTGCCCACCCTTGCATTTATGCTTCATTTACTAATTCTTCAGTCTGGTTCCATCTGCATTCTAAGCATAAAAATGTAAATCATGCTTTAAAAGAATAAAACAATCTTGGGATTAATGAGACGTGTACCAACATAATTCTTTAGTCAGTTTTCTTTTTATATCGCTTGTCTGACTTGTCTCTTGGCAGTATTTTGTCTGTTTAGTTTGTAGACTCTTCTCAGGAGTTGGTTTGCATTGTTAAACTTCATGTACCTCTATATTTTGGAGCTGAACTTATTAATAATATTATAGTAATTCTAAAATGTAATTGCTTTTTGGTATAGACAAAAAGCATGCCCAAAATTTCTTAGATCCCTCATAGTACTGTGATCAATAACCTGTATTAATATGTTGAAATTACATTTTTCCTTCCATATCCATTTTTTTCCCCATTTACTAACCCAGTTGAGGATATTTTCTGTTACTCTTTCCCTGCTTGATCATGTTCTGTCTTGTTGATATCATCCATTCATCTAATGTTTCCTGTTTTAAGAACAGGATAAAGTTTATGAAGACCCTTAGCAGATGTGAAAGTAATGTTGCAATTGGGATCTCAGCAATTTTATAGCTCTTCTCAAAAATTGAGCACCTGTTATGTCAGATGAACCAGGGACAGAACCAGGACAGCTTATTACCGGGGATTGGATGGGGAGTTGTGTCAAACTTTATGGCTGCTCTGTGCCCCATCCCAACAGCCAGATCATTTGAGATGGGACACAGGCCAACCCTGGGTCTGGGACATGTGCTACATGTTTAGTTTAAGGTGCAATGCAGACCAGCCACAAAGATGTTCCACTTTACATATGTGGTGTGATTAACATATTAATTGTGCTGTAAAATGTAACATGCTGTATGTTCAGCCAATTTATGGCATGATAAAACAGAAAACCCGACATGAAGATGTCCCACATAAATGTCTGACTATGTGGCATGTTACAGTTTACGGCACAATTAACAAATTAATGGCACCATAAAGGTAAAGTCTGGCAGGGCAAAACCATCCACCTTCAGGCTATGTAAAATGACTTGCCCTATACATCTGAGCATCTAAAGAATAGAAAGTGAGTCTTATATATTTTGGAGTCTTTTGTAATGTTAATGTACTCATCCTTACAGAGACTCAAACCATAAGAACATAAGATGTGCCATACTGGGACAGACCAATGGCCGATTTAGCCCCAGTGAGCAGACAGTAGTAGGAGTGTATGTTATAGAGAGAGAACATTGAACCAGATCTATCTAGAGTCATCTGTCCCCTATGCAATACCCTCCCTGGCATCCATTTCACAATGTGGTTCTTAATCTTGCCTAGAATAACATCATGCAACTCTGCCAAAATAATCCCATCTTCCTAGATGCAGCCTAAATCAGGGGCAGTTTCTTCAAACCAAATTCCTTCTTTTTCCAGTCAAAATTCAGGCAGTGGTAACTTTGGTTTGAAGGTGTATTTCAGGGATGCTTCCAAAGCTCCTAAACTGTCCATCATGATCCAGTCCTTTGTGCTTTGAATAGGAGAAAAATTAGTGGTGGAGTCACCTTTTAGCAAATGTCTCCCAGCAAAGATCCAGGTGGTATAGAGCGTTGTAAAGATTCTTCAGTACTCCACCTCTGGAGCATGCTTCTGTGTAATATATGGTGTGTGAATGAAGCACACTGTAGTCAAGTCTTTATGCATTGGCAGAATAGAATCCATGATGTTCAGAGTTGGGAAAAAAATTGAAGTATCCACAGTCCTCCTCTAAATTGGGCTGGGGTGTGGATAACCCCAGAATATGAGACTCAAAGGTAACTTTGCTCTAGCCTAGAAGTGGGTTTTAAAGAAGGGAAAAGAAGGTATTGGACCAGTAAGAAAAGGGAAATTGTTCAAAGAGTGGGGAAAATGTAAAAGAACTGGAAATGGAAGAAAACAGAAGAAGAAGCATCAGGGAGTGATGATTAAGGGTACATGAGTGGTTGAGGAATATGGTGTGTCGATGGGCAAGAGTTTTATGTCTTCAAAAATGCAGTTGAGTTATTTGAATTTGATCCAGGAAGCATGTTGAAGGTAAAATACTCTTGATAATAGAGGTGGTATGAACTTTAAGCTAAATGAGGGGCAGCACAGGGAAGTGGCAGCAGTTGTATGTGCTGGTGGCTGGAGAAGGCAGCAGGGATGGTGTATGGCAAGCTGGAAGCCCCAGCAGGTATTGGAAAGAGTTGAATCTAGTGGGTTCTGCCTCTGAGCTGAGGCAGCGTGCAGCCTGTTAGCTGCCCACCCAGGGGGCACCGCCACCGTGGAGGGGAGGACTGGGACCGCCTGAGCTCAGGAGCCACACAGCCTACTGGCAGTTCATGTGGGCAGGCCCCGCCGGGGAAAAAGAAAAAAGTGGTGAGGGGCCCAATCCGTTTTTGTCATGAAGCCTGCCTGCAGCTGGGGGGCAAGCTGACGGCGGGCCCTGAGCTATGGCAGGTCCTGGTTTTCTCCTTTTGCACCAACACCACCTGGGCAGGCTGCTAGCAGGCCAGGGGCTGCCCCAGCTCGGAGATAGCACCCAACTGGATCCAACTGTTGCTTGAGCCCAATCTGGGGCAGTCCCCAGGCTGATAGCAGCCTGCCTGGGCGGCCACAGCTGGCACTGCTGCCAGAGGGAAGGGCTGAGGCCCCACACAGCTCAGGAGTCACTCAGCCTGCCAGCAGCTAGCCCCCCAGCTGCGAGAGAGGCAGGCAGGATTTGTGGGGGGAAGAAAAGGATTGAAGCACTCACCGCTTCTGCCTTCAGCCCATCTCTCCTGCAGCTGGGGGAGTGAGCTGTCATATTAAAGGCTGCAGTGTTACAAGTAGCTTCGTTGCAAACTAAACTACATGGGATGTGGTTTAATTTGCGGTGTAACAAACTCATTTATAGAGGTGTACCAGGTCCATATTGTATTGGCATCGATTAAAGGAGAATTGATGTTATTGGCAGTCAGGTTTTTTTGGCTGATGTGGCCAATAATGTCGCCAATAGATGCCCTGTACATGTGTGCAGCTGCAGCATGCATGCGGTCAGGAATGCAGCCTGACAGCTTGGAGAGCTGGTAAGTCTGGGTGGGGAGGGAAGAGTCATGCATGGTTGTATATTGAGGCCCCCACAGTGAGGAAGGGAGTGGGGCTGGGGCAGGCACAGGCAGGGCAGGGCAGGGTAGGGCACAGGACGGAACCATGGGTGGCTTGTCTGGCGAGTGCTGAGGAGGGCAGCTCCCGCTCCTGTGCACACCCCTGAGAGAGGTATGGGGGGGCATGTGCCCCCACATCTGTGCACCAACCTCTTCCCAGCAAGGGGACTGGGTCAGAGCTGCGCTCAGGGTGGGTGGTGGTGGCGGCACTGGAAGGGGGGCTACAGGGTGGCTACTGCAAATTTTGGGGTGGCTCCAGGCCCCCCTTCCAGCACTGCCACTTCCTGGCCCGAACACAGCCTAAGCCCTGCCCTCCCCACCAGGAAGAGGTGCACCCCTGCTCTAGCGGTGCACCCCTATTCATTTAAATTGCAAAAAAATCCTACATGTAAGATGTGACACAGTTAAACCACAAAATGGGGCCATTTTCGTCACATGTACAAGTGTCCAAAACCCAGAGAAGGATTCAAGGGCTAGAGGGAGAGATTAGGAAATGGTTTGAAATTGAAAGTATTGACGGACTTGCCAGGAGCAATTGGTAACCCAGTTGCTAAAAGGGTGCTAAATGATCTTAAAGGTCTCTGCCTTTCTGATTTCTGTAAACCAGATTTTTTTAATTCTGATGTATAGTTATAGTCCTGCAGGAAGACGATTAAGAGTAGGCTTGGTATCCTATTTAAAATAGTAGCAGTATTGCCTCATTATTTAAATATTGGGAGAAGGCAAATACAGAAGCTATGCAATGTTTGCTTGTTTTGTATCCTCCATTTGTAAATACTTAGTAACAATGGAGCTGTAGTATAAAACATAAGCATCTTGAGGGCTTAGCCAGGACACCTTCATTTACACATTGGGATGTGGCTAAGTTCTTCTATTTGACATGCATATGAATATCAGTAAATTAATAATTTAGTAATACTGAGCAGAAATGCCATAGAATCACAAAGCCTCAGATATATAAAGAAAACAATCTAATCCATATTATTAGGAATAAAGAAAGAAAGTCAATATTGTGTGCAGTAAAAATTGGGCATATGTTGTCCATGACCAAAAAAAACATTGGCAGATGCAGTCAGCAATTTTTTTTCATTTAAAGCTGGTTTTAAATCCAAAGATTGGTTTGTATTTTTTTATTAGGCAAACATTCATATAAATGATAAATAAGTTTGGAACATTGAAGAACAAATACTTTAATTATAGAAAGTTTAAATATAGTTTCTGAGATACAGTTACTGAAAAATAGTAGGGCAGCTCTATTCACCATGTCTAGTTACTAGAATTCACACTTGCTGAGGTAACCTTTTTGGCAGGCAGATCACAAATAAGCTCCTTCCCTTCCCTAAATGCCAGTCTGATCCCCTTTCTCAGCTTTGCTTTCTACTCCCAGCCCTGTGCCCCTTGCCTGATTTGCTGCTTTGCTTTCTGCTTCCTGCCATATCTGCTGCTGTGATGCCTGTCCTCTCCCTAACCTGTCGTGGGTCACACACAGAGGCTACCCATGTTACTTGTGGGCCATGCCTGGTCAAAATGATAGTTTTCTCAACAAATTAAATTTTTGTCAAAGGGAAAATACTTCCATTTGCCTTGATGAATTTAATTGCAGAGATTTTTGTTTTCAGTTTAATTAAAAGAACAAGTCAGATGCTTACTCAGTTTTGGAACTGTTAGAATTCAAACTACAGTGGCATTTGGGGTAGTTATTTTAGCTTTGAATACATGTGTTGAAAAATGGAAGATAGAAAAATGGGACAGCACATATTTTAAACTCCTTAAATTACTGAAATCTTGAAAATGTAGCTATGTTGTATTATTTTTTAAATAGAGTCAGATCAGTAAGGAGGGTGGGAGGACTATTCAGTGTTCTTATTGTTCTGAAGGAGCTTAAGAGCAATAACGAGCCTTGGAAGATGTTTTTGTCTTCTGCCTTGATCATTCACACTTTGATACGTCTATAATACATAGCTGCACTTAGGGAGCTGAGAAAGGCATGGGAATTGTCCTTTTCAAGATTTCCTTTTCTTTATTACACTTTCTGGGTATATATGTTCTTTTTGCTTTCCTTCATGACATTTTTGATATATTGGGCTGCTGAGTACTAGGACAAATGGTGACATATATGAAAGGTCCACAGTTTTGTTTTCTTAGTAGAAGCAGACTAAATCCTCTTCTCTGTTACTTCTAGTAGAGACTACCAATATTTGTGTCAGTTATGTGGAATGACCCTTTGCCAAGCTGTTTTATTTTAACTATTATCATATATCTATATTTATATTGTTGTGACTTGTTAGGTGAAAAGCCATTTCACTGTGATGAATGTGGTATGAGGTTCATTCAGAAATATCACATGGAAAGACACAAGAGAACTCACAGTGGGGAGAAGCCTTATCAGTGTGAATATTGTTTGCAGGTAAGAGAGTTAATTGAAATTGTGCTTATTGTGTTAAAACCCAAAATGCCAAATATACCTTTCAGAAGTAATTCATGCAGATCTTTCTAGACGTTGTCATCTACATGTATGTTAATTGACATAGAAAAGAATGGTATGTTGTTTTCATGACTATGGGGTTGGACAGTCTTCAAATGAAGTGCATGAACTAGTGAGTGAATTACTTAAAGAACATTTTCTTACTGTCTATATATTTATTTTTCTCTAACTTAAATTCTGTGCAGTACTTCTCCAGGACTGATCGTGTGCTAAAACATAAACGCATGTGCCATGAGAATCGTGACAAGAAGCCTAATAGAAGTACTACCAAAGTTGGGTTTTTGACATCTGAGGATGATTCTGGCTTCTCTACGCCTATGAAAGATAGCTCCTTGCCAAAAAAGAAAAGACAGAAAACAGAGAAGGCAAAGTCTATGGACAAGGAAGGTGCAGATAAGTCAGAACAGAAGAAGGACAAAAATGACTATTTGCCTTTGTATTCTTCCAGTACAAAAGTAAAAGATGAATATATGGTGGCAGAATACGCTGTGGAGATGCCACATTCTTCTGTCAGTGGATCACACTTGGAAGAAGCAAATTCTGGAGAAATACACCCGCCTAAGCTGGTTCTCAAAAAAGTTAATAGCAAGAGAAGTCTAAAACAGCCACTTGAGCAAAGTCAAACCATTTCACCTTTAGCCACATATGAAGAGAACAAGGTTTCAAAGTATGCCTTTGATCTTGTGGATAAACAAGGTTTACTGGACTCTGAAGGTAATGCTGACATTGACCAAGTTGATACTTTACAGGAAGGGCCCAGTAAGCCAGTACACAGTAGCACTAATTACGATGATGCAATGCAGTTTTTAAAGAAAAAGAGGTATCTGCAAGCAGCTAGTAATAACAGCAGAGAGTATGCTCTAAATGTGGGTACCATAGCATCTCAACCTTCAGTAACACAGGCAGCTGTAGCAAGTGTCATTGATGAAAGTACCACAGCATCCATATTAGATTCACAGGCACTGAATGTGGAAATTAAAAGCAACCATGATAAAAATGTCATTCCAGATGAGGTACTGCAAACTCTCTTAGATCATTATTCCCACAAAGCTAATGGACAACACGAAATATCTTTCAGTGTGGCTGACACTGAGGTGACCTCTAGCATATCAATCAATTCTTCTGAAGTATCTGAGGTCAGCCAATCTGAGACTGTTGGAACAAGTTCCCAAGCCTCCTCAGCCGATAAAGCCAGTATGTTACAAGAATATTCAAAGTTTTTACAACAAGCTTTGGACAGAACAAGCCAAAATGATGCCTATTTAAACAACACAGGCCTTAATTTTGTGACTGACAGCCAGACTCTTGCAACCCAGCCAGCATTCTCTTCCATAGACAAACAGGTCTACGCATCCATACCTGTCAATAGTTTTCGAACGGGAATAAACTCTCCATTAAGAACAACTCCAGACAAGTCTCATTTTGGACTAATTGTTGGTGATTCCCAACACACGTTTCCCTTTTCAGGAGATGATGCAAATCATTCTTCCTCCTCCTCAACACAGGACTTCTTGGATCAAGTGACTTCTCAGAAGAAAGCAGAGGCACAGCCTGTCCACCAGGCTTATCAAATTAGCTCCTTTGAGCAGCCTTTCAGAGCTCAGTACCATGGAGCAAGGGCTGGGATATCATCTCAGTTTAGCACTGCCAATGGACAGGTGAACCTGCGGGGACCGGGGACAAGTGCCGAATTCCCTGAATTTCCCTTGGTGAATGTAAATGATAATAGAGCTGGGATGACCTCTTCACCTGATGCCACAACAGGCCAGACTTTTGGCTAAGAAAACCTTTGTAAATAAAATTGGCACTTTAGAACACAACTGTCAAGAGTGGGATTGCTCTATAAAGCTTTTAAGAGCATTGTGTTATAACAAAAGTAAGTTGATATTGCAAGATCAGTAACTGCATTTTTTGGTTAGTCACCAGTCATTGAACTGCCTTACATGTTGTTACCCCTATAAAAGGTGGTTTATCGCTTGCTTGTTTGAGACCAGAAACTTGCTCTTTTACCTACATTGAGATTTCAAATAGTACAAAAACCCCGAGATAAGACTTTGTTCTGTAATTGTTTCCTAACTGGTATCACTGTATGTTCTTGGGAGAACAGTAATTGTCTGAGATTATTCATACTGTCATTTCTAGGCTTGCCAGCATAGTCTTACTCTTCAGCAGGGAATCTAAACACAAGAAACAGACAGAATAAACTAAAAGTTTGAATGTCAAGACATTACAGCTAAACGACCTTGGCATATTCTACAGAAATACCCTTTCTTCTGTCTCTCTTACAAAGAAGTATATGCCATATGTCCTTTATTTTTGCTTTGAGTTACATTGAGTCATGTTTTGGAGGAAAAAAGTAGTAATAAAATCTGATGGACTAACTCCACTATTTAAAAGTTTAATTAATTTAAATACTTTAAATACTTTTTAGCAAAATGCATAATTGCTAATGCCGTTACTTCATTCCTGAAGTATTGCATATTTCTTTGTACAGCTGAACCTAGACAACTTTTTATGATTTTTCATATGCAGATTTCAAGATTCTGAAGTTTTAGTTGAAATACTCTTGTAGATTACATTCCCAACTATATAATCTTTACACAAACTGTGTATTCCAAGATTTTAAAGCTTAATTGTACTTTACCCTACATATTCACAGAGATTAACATAGAGCACTTAGAGTCTATTTGATATATTTTGATTTCTCAAAGAAGAATTTTTTTTTAGAATTTTAGGTTTGATATGGTTACATCATTATCATCTCATTCAACACTGCTTATTTTTAATATACATTGATTTTGGAATTTCTTAGCTTCTGTAAAAACTGATTTAATTCTTTCTGTCTGGAATTTTGACAGTTCAGATAATTAAACATACTTTAGTGTCCCAGCAAGCTGAAGAAGTTGGCATTCTAATTGCATATCTTTTTAGTGATTTCTTAATGAACTACATTCATTACAATTTTACCAACCAAAACGGTTGACTAATGCTAGTGAACAGAATTTCTTTTTCAGCATAGATGAGTGATCAGAAGCTTTTGTTGCATTTCACAATATAAATAAATGACAAACTTTATTCCTGTACCATGAATATGTTTCTTTGGATAGTACTTTGCTTTGAATTATACAATATGGTACGAAAGATAGTTCTGTATGCAATTTTAAGGTGATGAGGGTTGAATAACAGAAATGTTGTGTCACTTCTGTTGCACCTTCCCTAAAGGGACACTGTCTGGTAGTTTACAGCAGTATAAGCCTACAGGCTGATTATAACTAGCAAGTAGGAAAAATCTTGGAGATGCACAAATACTTTTACCGCACTACCCCATGGCAGGCATCTCTCAAATGAAGTCATCAGCCAAGAGAGAAGACTGAGCCACGTTAGGCTGAAGAATACCCTCTCCTGCAAAGGGACTGATGGGGTAGAAAACACAACCCTCCCATTCCCAAAGTAGTAATGTTATTTTTTTACTGTTTTAATTAACAGGACCCTGAGCCCAGTCTCTGTCTTTTCTTATGTGGCAGCACTGTAGCTGTAGTAACTTCCCTGAACCAGGTTTAGGAAGAAAAAATGCACCTGGAATCCAGATCCTGTTTGGCAAATGGCCAGGGACATTATTTACATGAACTTCCTGCATAATTTGTTCCTACAGAGTGAACCAGACTCTCATTGCCCTAGCCTAGGATGTCCTTGACTGTCCTTAGTATTCATTGACCTGCTGTGCAGCTGAGTTCTGAAGATTTAACCCCAAGTTAAGCAGAAAAATAAACACGAGAAAAAAATGAATTTGTTATAGAAAATTAGGGACACGTGTATATTTTCAGTCTGACAGTGTCCTTTTAAATTTTTTCTTATATTATTGGGTTTTTTGTTTCTTTTAAGTCTCTCATCCAATATGGATCCACACAGGCACATAACTCACAATGGGAAACAACTTACCATGAAGCAGATTGCTCATTTCCACCAAGTATCACTTCCATCATGTCATAGTTTTCAGTGTCCCATGCTACTTCTTCGCCACCTTTTTCCTTGATGGCCTGTCATTGTGAGTCATTGCAAAGATATGTGTATCCATTTAACGTTATTCCTTGTTTAAAACTTAATCTGTGGAGACATATTGCTGCATGGGAAATCAGAGGAAGGCCTGCTCAGCCCTAAGCAAATTGTGACTTCAGCTGTGTTGGAGTGAGCAGGGGCTACTGCCCTGGTACCCTTCTGTGAGAAAGTGGGCATGTAATAGGGAGAGCTCTCACCCCGCTTCCTTTGCTCACCAAGCAGAATAGCTAGATGGGTGCCTAGGCATGAATAAACTGTTCCACATAAAGGGTGAAATAATCTACCCTGTCTCAGAACAAGGTGGAGTGGATGAGAAGAACTGTGATTCTTTGTATCAGTTAATTCTTCAGTCTGCTCCATAGGGAATTAAAGCTGTACCCTGGGCCATAGCACAGATTATGAAGGCCTAGTCTAGCCCTTCAGTTTGTAGATCCACTTTATGCAGGTAGTTAGAGAGGTGGCACTAATAGTTTAATCCATTAACATTTAGGACTTCCAGTACAGAGGAATTTACCAGCCTGATTATGCTCCTCTATGCTAGTATAATGCCCTACGTAGACAATGCTGTCATTCTGGAATCCGTGTGTTCATCTCATCATAGTTTTATTGATAAATGTCTTTGTCTAGAAAATCTCTCTCTCTTTTTTTTAAAAAGGTCATCATTTAAAACACATTTCCTCTGCCTACATGCTTTATGATTTGTGCCCTAAAATAAATATGCTTTCCCTTTTACTGGTAATGGAGAATGCTCATTCTCTTTTTCCTCTGTACCACTTCTGTTTTTTACATTGTTCATCTACTGACATTATTAAATAAGCACAATATGAGGAGTAGCATTTCACAGCCTACAGAACCAACAATAGAAACTCCTATATTATTGAATGTTTTTTGCAAGCATTGTGTGCATGTGTGTGAGAGAAGTGGATGACTTTTTTTCTTGACAGAGTAATGATGAATAAAAAAAAAAAGAATAAAGAAAACTGAGGATGATTGTTACCAGGCAATAATGATTTTTAGATCATTCGTATTTTGGGCCTAAATTACTTGACAGTGTCCCTTGTAGCATTAGATCTTTGCTCTACTTTTACCTTGAATATTACTGGCAATGAAGGAATTGGCTGGCAATTGGATATGAATCAGCATCTACACTTTCTTCAGCTGATTTGAGGGTGAATTAATCATAAATGACAAGGTTTGGCGAAAACTGCTGTACACTGGGTTCATGAACAGAAATACGCAAAATTCAGTTTAAGTTTTTAAAAAGGAGTTGTTTTCATGGTCTTACCTTTAGGAAAATTATGGTTCAAGGGGGAAATACAACAACTCCTAAAGTACTAATGGTTATTTAATGCGTTTATTATTTTTTATATATTGTAGATTGTCAATGATTTTGAGAGCGATAATAGTTCATTATATTAGGGAAGGTACAGTAAAATCTTGCTGATTTGCTGTTGCTAATCAAAGCAGTCCCTAATTCTCATATATACAAGATTTTGTTCCTCTCCACCTCTGCAAAAATTTGAAAAGTATGAAAAAGTAATTAAAAAGACCTCAATCGTGAGCTCTCACATTGATACATCTGTGCTACTTCATCTTAGTATATTATGGCACATTTCTTAGTATACTAAAAAGTAGCACAATAAATGCTGAAAACTAAATTACAGTAACCTAAATAAGTGAACAATACTTTTTATGTGACATTCTTGTTTTTGTTTCCTTGTTTACTCGCTACTTGTCAAAAATCAGTTGTTTGGAATTGGTTTCCAAGTCATTACTGCAAATTAATGGAGTTCTACTGTAACCTTTTCAGAGTTGGTTTTTCAAGTGTTAAAGTGTTCAATTTTTTATTCTCTGAAAGGTCTCCACCTGGATATATACAGTGCATTTTGTGTTTGGTCAGAATATTTTTGTTTGTATTCTGTGTAGTACTTGAAAATGAACCAGAATATTTTGATTAATCTACTCTAAATTTTGCAGTATTGGCTTACTCTGTGTATGTATGTACATTTCCAAATTAAATTTTCTTGTGCTTAATTCTTTCAATTAACTTCATTACAAATTAGGGAAAATGCTGATGTTTCTGAGAATACATTTGGAAATTTTAGCAGGCAGAAATATGCTTGTGCTATCAATACTGTAGTTGGTACCAATACCCAGTTGGACTTTCAATATGTGATTGGTACTCAGGCAGATAAATAATTTCATGTTTTGTTATTTTAAAAAATCTGCTAAATGGAAGTCTTGTAACTTTGAAAGTTCGTTCATTTTATGGTAGCGCATGTTTATGTTAGGCATGGAACTCATTTAACAAAAACTCACTTTGCAAAGAACATGTACTACGGAAGTATTACTGCTAATGAGAAAACATGTTTAAGTTTAAATTTAAACTTTTTTGTTCAATTTACAATTGCTTTGTGTCAGGGAAATAAATTTTATAGTTGCTTTTACTATACATACAAATACCTTTATGTTTCCTTTTTAAAATTGTATCTTTTGGTAGGAAACACAAATGGATGCAGCAAGCAAACATTTCTAAGAATTGTTTCTTGCTTTCCTTAATCCAATGGATGGAAAGGTAAAATTGTGTAAACAACATTATTTTATTTTTTTATGCAATATCATGCTGTAAATATGATTTATCAAATAAGGATGTACTTATGATTGAATCTTTGATTCTGCACAGTTAAAGTTTATATATAAATATAAATGTGTCTCGACAATCAAGGACTTATGTCAGTCTTCCTTTATGATGTTTATTATTGTTATGCATTCCATTTGTTTGAATTGCGTACCAATGTGGAAATTTGTAATGTCTGTAAAGTACGTAATGTTTTTATAGCTTGTTTAAAAAACACGCAAAAATGCTGTAAATATATAAAAAAAAAAACAACTGATTGCAGTTCTGCTTTGTTAGAGGCAAATGATGATGTACTGTATGTAAGCAATAATACATGACAGTGCTAACTTTACAAAGTAGCATAAGGATAGGTCCAAAAATAGTTTTGGAGTTAATAGCTTTGTTTGAGTTAATGAATATTCATTAATTGTTTTATAAATAAATTCAACTGTCCTCCTGGTGGAGTATATAATATTGTTTACGCAGCACAATTTCAGTCGCAGAGGAGACAGTCTTTAGATCTGTGACTCCATCTGTACACACTTAGGTAAGAAATGAATGGTTTTACTGCACTTCTGCGAGATGAGGAAGACTGCAAAAGCTTAGTAGCTCTGTCTCTAAAGGAAGAGAGATACTTTGTCGCTACTGTGCTGATTCCTGACTATTCCTTCCCTTAAATTTGGAGTCCTTAGGTCCTGGTACTGACCTGATGTGACTTGGGGCTCCAGTATAAAAGGAGTGGTTCTCTTCATAATCCATATGCAGTTAAACAATGAATCTAGAAGTCACATGTTCATTTTGGATGCTTATTTTTCAAGTGCGAGTTATCAGCTGATGGATGGGTTTATTCAGTTATTAAAACATCAAACAAGTAGTTGAAATCGAGTAGGTATTAGTCTGTACAGAGCAAAATAACTATTTGAACACAGTTATCACTGCTTTAGGGGGGAAAAAACACCAATTTATAAATGTATATGGACCTACATTTTATAGGACAAATGTTTTTAAATGCTAGTCATTTATATAATATGTGCTTTGAAGGATTTGCTAGTCCACTTCTGTCACTTTTAGTACACTGGTATCTTTTTATATGTAATGTATGCTTTTTATTATTGTAGCAAAGCATTTCAGTAGAAGGAATTTTGCAACAGTTTGGGGGTATTTTCATTGTCAGCAATGAATGATACTAGATTTTGTCTGTGTGGTCTTGTCTTTATTTTAATGCTGTCTGGAAGGGAACTTGGTATCCAAATAAAGCAGGTGACCTCCTTTTATTTCAAGGGCATACTATGTAGTGCTGAATTGAGTCTGGAAATATGATTTTGAAAAGAGAAATTAGTAGAGAATTTAATGTACAGGAGAAAATAAATGTGTGATGAAAAACCTGATGATATATATAGTGGAACACTGTTACAGTGCATTTTCTGATATAGTGTTATTTTCCTGAAGTCCATATGCTTCTTTGTATTTCAACTAATAAAAAAATCCTATAGTTAAGTTTCTGGCAGGATAATAGGTTTATTTCAATTGTTAAAGAGTGTTCTTTTAAACTACACCATCCATGTTGTCCTTTCTACAGTCAGCGTAAGAATAAAATAAAAATCCAAACCAGATTTCAACCAGTAAGAAAGTGTATATAAGCAACAGAGATGCTTTTGTATACATGAGGCATGCATTTATGTATTTATTATGTCTCTGATATAAATTAGGAGGCGAGTCTTAATTCCTGTGAGATCAATGTGTTTGTTCAAGTATGGGTAAATGTATGTGCGTTTGAGAGAAGTTTGGGTCTCATGGCAAACAGGACTTAAGCATGAGATGGTTTATTGTTACTAAATACACAATTTAAGATTTAAAAGAAACATTTACATCTCTCAGTCTGTTCAGATAGCTGAAAATTATTTTGCAGGAGAGCAGTTTGATCCAAATTGTTAGGTTCTTACAGTTGGATGCTTCTCCCATTAAAGTTAGTGGGAATTTTATTGTTTACTCAAAATAACATTGTTACCCCAAAATCATCAGACCTTCTACAGATATTCCTCCAGCAGGCTTGATTTGGGTAAAATTGATGCATTTTAAAAGTTTCTATTTCTGTCTTTACTTGTCTAAAAACGTTTAAGCAAAATAATTTTAGGTAAAGGATACTTACTTTTAAGTCAAAGATATTTTGAGAGTTACTATTCCTGTTCATTTGATTGCTACTGTAATTTAAATCCTGCTTGACAAAACATGGATGAAGAAATGGATTGTTGTTCCTGTATGCTACAGCAAAAGATGATATTTATATACATAGGCAGGGTGAATGATATTGTGTTCTTAGAACTGATTTATTCTTTCACTGCTTGTGACATTACTATTTTCTTAACCTAGCCCTTTTGGGTTTATAGTACCCTTTTATGTGTTTTGATACCAAGGAAAACTGGGTCTTTTTGCTTTATTTTTAATTAAACTAATAAGTCTGATGATTCATATTTGCAAATGGTGCATTTTACAATGTGGTCACTGACTATCTTAAATAAAAATATAGAGAACTGTTTTATGAGCTAGGCTTAGTAGCATTTTTTGTGTTACCTGGTTTAAGACAAAAATCAGTTTCTTAACAGAGCAAGTCATAAAATTAGAGTATGGTAGGAAATAAGGAAAAGGAACATCTCATCCAGCCCTTTGCCCTAAGGGAATGTCAGTTCTACCTAAACCAGTCATGACTGATATTTGCCTAACTTGCTTTAAAAAAACCTGTAACAATGAAGATTCCAGCATCTCTGTAAATAATCTGTTCCCGTATTTAACTATCCTTCCAACTAAAATGCTTTTCCTAACATTAAATCTGAAATTTCTATCAATTTGAGATGAGATGACAAAAGAGCTGCTTTTTTGGCACTGATTCTTATTTACATTAAAGTCCTTTTCACAACTCTGGTCTTAGTGTAAAAAAGAATTGGGACTTCCTATGCAAAAGAAACACATTTTTAAAGTGTGGGTTTATGTATGATTTACTTTTCATTCAGTATATTTCATAGTGCACTTTTACTGAATTAAAGCATAAAAATGCAGAAAGTGATAGCAGAGTGCACTTATAAAGAATAACTGCTTAGATGCAAAGCTATAAATAAGACCCTATAATGATTCTAGTCACTTTTTTATGTTACGTTGCTGCAATCTTATAGTAGTGATTATTCTGACATGTAATTCCAAGACCATTTCCAGTAACAAAAGTATTTGATTTTAAGAAATATAGAAATTTGATGATTTATTTGACTGCATAAAAATAGACTTGATGGAAATAAATTCAGCGCTGACACACAGAGTAAGGTAAACTCCATTCTCCTTTAGGCTGTGTACTGCTGTACACCTCGTTTGATGTTTTTGCCCAATAATATTATGCAATGAGAAATACATATTTCAAAAACAGAGGATGAGTGTATTATCCAGAGGAATAGTAATGTGGAACATCACTTTTATTATATAACATTACTGTATTAAAATTTGTAAAGCATGACACAAGGTATGTTAACATGCAGCTACCATAGGAATTTAAAAAAAACGTAAAGCAAAGTCATACCTGGTAGATGTATTCTGAAATGAGACTGAGAAAGTAGTATCTCAGCAGTCCTGTGGTCTGTCTCTCATTGTATTTGCTTATTTTGGTGATAATTTATTTTTAGTTGTTTTAATTGTTTTTTTTTAACTGGAAACAAGGCAGTGTTGACATTTAAATTTGTAGTGTATGGCTGTTGTATGACAAATACTAAAGTTATCATGAAAGTAGGGGAATTGGTCAACATTTTGGTTGAAAAAATGTTGCAAAATAAGTTATTCACTGAGCTAGTATTACTGCAAAAATAATAATCTATTAAGTTAGCTTTAGCTTTTTCTCTAAGAACTCTAATCAGTTTTCCATTAACATGACTTGTTAGGATTATGTCAGTTTATTTAGAGCAATACAATCTCTATCCCTCTAACTTGGCATTTTTCCTGTACTTCATTTGATGAACCATTCTGTGGCTTCAGTTCAGTGACTTATGTAAGTGGAGTGATTCACAGCCTGGCCATTCTAGGAAATAGTCTGGAAAAAAGCAAGTGTTTGTCATCTCATCCATCACCCCCATCAGTGGAGGACTGTTTCCTATAATGTAACTGTATACTGTTTTGTGCTTCTTTCTATCTTGAGAACTAGATCAGCCAAATCTCCCAAATGGAAATCCTTGTCTCTGATGGAAACTAAAAATGAAGTATGTATATGTTTTCCTTTCAGAAGCTAGATGTATACTGGACTGGTCCCTCTGGTAAGTAACCTTTTGTACACTCCCCATTGCAGGGCTGTCCTTCAGGTTCAGGTACATCACCACACTTAAACTGTTAAACCCATCAGATAATGTGCATGTTAAATCCTTTTGTGCAAACTGGTGGCAAGAATTCAACAAGGGGGCTTGATACAGTTATACAACATCTGATGTAATAAACTTCTGCTTGCACCCCTCATTTTAATACCCTGCCTTTTGCTTAGTACAATTAAACATGGTGGTTTGGTACAATAGCACCCGATCCTCCAGGCTTGTAAAATTCTACCTGCCCACTTGCTCATCCACAATGTTTTTGACAAGCAGTGATGATATAACACTTTCAGTGCTTGTGCTAAACTCAAGGGAGGGAATGTTACATACAAACTGACAGATTTCCTATTTTTGCAAAGATCACAATCTTATTTTTCTTTAGCAGGTTTACTTGCAGCAAAAGTGTCCCACTCACTATCACTACTGGCTCAGTGACTCTCCCTGGCTAACATCAAACAGATGAACAATCAAAAAAAAAA